TCATCCGTCATGCCCCATTTCTGTATGTTATGAGGACATATCCACATTTTTTCATTTGTTAAATATGGCCATGGACATATTCAACCTGAAGAGCCAGCTTCAAGAGTACTTCTAAAATGTGAAAATTAAACCAGTGTCTTTGTCCATGACATAGAAGCACAATGTAATTCGGATTCTGGCTACACTTGCAAGGCCTTTGGTGCAGATGAAGAGAAAGTTGGCAAGCCAGATGGAAAGAAGCCTAAGAATGAGGAAGGAAAGGGAGTTTGCAGATGCTCTTTGGTGTCACAACTTGGATGATCTCTTATTTCTTAGTCGAGTCTTCTTCCTCTGTCACTTTGAGAGTTCTTGGTGAAACTTTGGGGTCATGCCCCGAACCTCCCCGAGGGCTACTTCTGAGGGGTCATGTAAGCCAGCTCTGCCCCACCTACTTCTGCAGAAGCCAGAGTCTTTGTTTGCATGAAGTCTAATTTTTGCTTTCCTATGATGATTTTTAGTTCATTTGCATGAATGTTAAGGTTGACTGTCTCAAAAACTGGGAGTTGCAGTGAAGAGCTGCTGTGTCCCCATCCACCTTCAACCACGTATTTGTCACGGGGTGCCTTTTTGTCATGTTATGGCCATATCAGAAGTAGAAGCTGTCCTGTTCCTTCTTGGCACTAACGTAGAATGCTCATTGGAAAAGTGGAAGAATTTTGCTTTCTGTCTGCTGTGTACATTATTCATACTCAATCATCATATTGAGTTGGACTCTTTCCTTCCATGTGGCAGACATACTGCATTATTTTTTTTTCCCTAGGAAATACAGCTTTCACACAGCCATTGTCTTTTCCACCAAGGCATTTGGCATCTCTTTTCCCATCTGACTTCATATCAAAAACATCTGGAGAGCTTTGCAAAAAACACAGATCTTGAGTCAATAGGTCTGGGGTGATTCTGGAATCCATCATCTATAATGCTCCACTGGTGAATCTTCTGGTCTGCTGGGTTCCGAAGCATGTGTGTCAGGAGTCCCCAAGACCACTATGGGTTCACTGATTCTCTTAGAGGACTCATGGGACTCAGCATATAGTCCTACTCATAGCTGTAATATATTACAATCAACAAAGGGAAAAAGCATATGGGGCAAAGGCTGAGGGAAAGCAGGCACGAGCTTCCAGAGACTTATCCCTGTGTAGTCACCCAAGATGTGCCCATTTACTCTGACATGGAATTGTGGCAAATGTATGGAATGTTCTCTACCAAGAAACTCTTTAGAGACTCCATGTCCAAGATTTTTATTGGGGGCTGGTCACATTGGCAATCCCAAATCCCAAATTCCAGACTCCCAGAAGGGAAGCAGGTGTTCAGCATAAAAACATGGTTTATACAGTTTAGGCAGAGTGAGCCACTATTACCAATCCGGGAGTAATGAGAACTCTCCCCAAATCCAAATTCCCACATGCCAGCCAAGGACCAACTTTGCAAACAGACCTTTTTCAAGATAACAGTCTCAGCTCTGGTATGTTAACTTTTCTACACAGTATGTTAGCCAAGTTTCTGTATTGGGTAGGAGGAGAAACTTCCAAATGAAAATGGAGACTCAGGTGATGAAATACAAAATCCTACTCCTTGAGGATTTTAATAAAATTCGTGTCATGGGAAGGCGGCCATAAATGCAGGATTCTCCAAGCCCACTTGCCCTTGGCTCTAGTCTGGCTTAGAGAAAAAGAGATCCCAGGGAGATTGGATCAACATGCAGCTAGCTACTCACTTTTTAGGTTCTGCTCCCCTTTCTAATTTTCCAAATGGGATTGTTTCTTTAATTTTTGGAAAGTCACAATTATAAGTAATGAGACTGGATAATAAAAAAAAAATTTCATATCCAAGTCACGGAAAGCTGTGAGTCACACGACCCCCCCCCCCCAAGTCCCCAAAAAGAAACTATAATTTTAGAACTCAGCCTCGCGGGCAACCAGGAATATTCGTGGATCACCTGGGAATATTCTTAGGCGTTCTTCGTTAGCAACATGAGGTATGCCACTTTAATTTTCTGCAGCTAGAGGCGTCTCCCTGCATCTACAACCTCCCAAGATTACCTGGCAGAATAGAGTCATCTGCTTTCAGATATGTTGATGGCAGAATCAAAAGAGAGAGATGATTGTTTCTTCTCATGGGAAACTTCCAGATGGAGACTAGAAGTTTATCTGAGCATTTCATTATTCAAGCACATTTCATTATTTAACTTGCACATTTTCTTCCTTCCAAACAATTAGGCTTCCTTTTAAGTTCATTTCTATTTACTTTTTATTCAGTTCACTTATTCAGGTGAATAGTAAAACAGCATGTACCTTGTATAAAGCCCTTTGTGAACCTAATAATGATAGTCATTATGCAGCATTGCTTTTCAAGGTGCAAAAGTTCCTTCTTCTTGGACCTGTTTTTTTGTGATTTTAATCTCTTCTGCCATTTTTCTTTGAGTCTTTGCACTTCTCTATATCCTTTTTAAAGGTATGATGGCCAAAGTTGGACTCAACATTTTTCAACCCAAATATACAGCAGTGTGACATATTTCTAAATTCCCTACAAAAACTATTGAAAATTATATTACATATTTTTAATTATTCAAAAACACAAAACACATGATCAAATGTTCTCTCCTTCTTTAAAGTCATTGTTATAACATGTAAGGTTCATTGACCATATATTGGGGCATAATTCCCTGTCTGTTATGACTCAATTTTAAAAACGTATATTAAGAAGCAAGGATCTTTGGCAGTAAATATATTATAGACTGATCAAAATTAACTGTGGGTCAGCAGCTGAGAAGAATGCTCTGTAAGAGTATTATTTAAGAGGGTAAGAGTAATGTATAGGATCAAGGAAGGACCACGTTTCTATCCTGGTTGTCTAACTCTCCCGAAGTACAAATTGTCCCTAAATTCAGTGCCACATACTGGCACTGAAAGCCCCTACTATACTTATTCTCCTAATGGTACCCCCCTCCCCGTGTTCCCTAATTGTTTTCAGCATGTGGTCTATTGTAATCTCTAGCTCTTTTCTCCACTTCTCCTGTCTTTCACTGGAAATTAACCTCTGTCATTTGTTACTGAATATCATTTTATGTAGATATGTGATTTCATATATGGAGACTATTGACATTCCCAACATCAAGGTAATTAAAAATCATATTTCCATGACTTAGAATATTCTCAACCTTACATAGTTTCATGTCTTTGGAAATTTGATGAGGTTAGTCTTTGTACTTTCACCCAAGAAATATTTTGAATGAAGTGAATTCTGGGACTGATCTGGGTAGGTAGGATACATGGAGCAGATCTAAAATTTTAGTTCTCACTGAGAACTCCGATGTTGTAGCCTACATAGATGTCAGAGTGATACAAAATGCAAGAATTTCCCCCCAAAGTATATTCTCAAACTTCAAAAATATCATTCAACAAAAACAAAAATGAATTCCAAAACAATGAAGGAGGCTTAGAAGCGAATCTGTGACATTTTGAGACTTTGACCTTTCAATAGCAGCGGGCCCAGCTGTTTAACTGCAGTTAAACAGCAGTTTAAGTGTTGTGGTGCAGTGATCTCAAAGAAAGACATTGACTGTGTCTCCAGTGTGTATCTTCCTCTCCAGGCAATAGTAGGGGGATGTGTATGTGTGTGTATGTGCGTGTGAATGTGTATGTGTACTGTCTCCAGTGGGGGGAAACAAGGAGATGTTAGACTGTGAGCCCACTGAGTTTACCACTACAACGTATACCTTTTCCAGATGGGATCTTACACTACTCATTCTACAGATGACCACTTGATTTGTTGGGTAGCTAGTATGGTATGATTATTTCACAGTTTCACTCATTTACAGCTTTTAAAAAAATAGGTATTGCTTGAACAGGGTTTCAGAGCAGAGATTTCCTTTTAAACCTTTAAAAAAAAAACCACAAATATGATTGAACCATACAACCACATTCCACCTCTTTTAATTCCCTCATTCCCATTAGAAACATTTTGTTAAAAGCTCAAGTGATTCCACCCATACACACTGAATTGGGAGAATTACCAAAAAGAGAAAAAGAATGAGAGCTTATGGTACAGGGGGTTATAGAAAAGAGAAGCCATGGTTTATTTCTGAAAGTAAAGGTAAACACATACATTTATTAGAAAAGGAAGCTAAAGAATTAAAGATGGAAAGATTCTCTTAATGAAGATTGAGTCTGAACTGAAGCCTTTATCATGACACACTGGCAAATCTCCACTTAATAACGCTGTTGGCTGAGCTTGACTGAGGGGCAAGGATGCAATAATGTGCTTCTTGTGTTTGGGTGAGAGTGACAGGACTTGGAAAAGCTAGCTCTTCTGCAGCCTGCACGTAGGTTCTGGAACAAGTCCCACTGTTACTCAGGAAGTTCAGGACTCAGGACCAACATTCTCCTACTCATGCAGGATAAGCTACTCCAAGTGGAAGGATTGGGGTTCCAAGCAAGGCCAAGCTTACTTGCTCTAGGCCACTTGTTTTTGGGTAATGCAGTTCATGATCTAATAAGCATCGTTCCTGGTCACTAGAGCATAGGAATAAGAGCTCCTCTTGGAAAGATGCAGGAGATCCGCTGCTGGGAAAGTGCTGCTTGGTGTCAGAGAAGCAGATAGAAATGAATTCAGTTCTGTAAGTGTTGATGGCAACAGTTCAAATTAAGACTCCTTAGAATCAGTGTTTAAAAAAAAAAATCTTCCATCTTCATCCCTGATGTGGGGAAAGGGCTTTTGCATTGCTGAGGACTGGTGTACATTTAATAGTTAAATGATAAGACATATCCAATGGGGGAATAAAGCCCCAGAGCTATTTCAGTTAGGATTCAGGGAAATGCATTATGTCTTAGAAACAAATTTATGTTAGAGATTATTGACCCATTAATGTTTTCTTCATTTACATTTGATTTTAAAATGGTGGAACTTATTGGGATTTGGGGACAATTCTGCTGTGGTATTAAATACTGTATTAAAAACTTAGTATTGCGTTAGTGCAGTGACTTCCAGCGAATTGACTTAGGCCCACATTTCATTTTAATCAAAAACAAAAACTAGAAAATGTTACTCCCTAAATAGGTAAAAATGCATTTTATAAGCACTGTAGAGAGTTAGTAAATAGCATGTATGATTAATTTAGAAACAACCACTGACACTTGAGGGTTACTCAATACATATAATAGTTTCCTTCTCATTTTTTATATGAAGTAAATGCAGACCAGGGAGCCACTGAGCAAATAGTCAACTCTGAGTAGGTTAGTAATCTTGGGCTCCATGGGGATGTCTTTGGTAAAGATAAAAAGGGAATGAGTTGATGTTTCTATTACAAGACTCTGTAATGCTAGGACTTCTACACAGCTTAAATAATGTTTGGGGGAATATTCTTTGAGGAGAAATGCTCAAATGTTATTTTAGTCACTTGTAGCTCTATTGGGTTAGCGCACACACTTGGCTTAGAATCCCATTTACATCATTACCTTGTTCTGTTGAAGAACCACAACACGCAAACAGTTCATCGTACTCTCAAAAATACATGTAGTACGCCCAGTAAAACACATTGGCTAGCATAAAAATCAAAGGAAATAGTAATTTGGAATATCGATCAACATTACTGGGGTTTTGAATTGTGAAATAATCAACAATCCTGCCCATCTTATCTCGGAAGACAAACTTGAACTTGTCACTGGTTTTCATTGTCAAGTCACTATAGTTGACATTATCACCAGAAATTTCAATGCTGGCAAAGCTGATCTTCCGTTTAAAGCTGGAGATGGAACTGTTGATGATGTTAGTAATATTGACTTCTTCTACTTCCTTTGCCGTCCCCTATATCATAGATAATGCAGTTAGCTTGAAAGACTTGACTTAGCAAAATAAGTAGCTAGACATTTAAATACTTAGAAGTCTAAGTATTGAATAATCAGGTTTAATAGAAAGTGGCACTGAATGTCTCAGATGTAGGCCAGTGGGCCAGACTTGGCAGTTTTGTTATCCTGCTTAAAGGCACCCATCCCTAGGTCATCAGCTTGTATACTGTGGAGAATAACCATTGCCCACTGTTGCTATGCAGAGCTCTGTGCTAAATGCTCAGGCCTTGAAGTTAGCTGGTCTGGGTTTGAATTCCATTCTGCCTCTTGCTATTATGAAATCTGAGTCACCCTTAATTCCTTTAAAACTTGGTTTCCTTGCCTGCAAAATGGTGATGGTATTAATATCTACCTCATGAAAGGGATGGGAAGATTAAATGGGATAAATTATGTAAAGCATTTCGTAGGTGTTTGATGAATTCCATTCTGTCCTAGTGAGGGGAATTCATTGATTATGAGAGATAATAGAAATCAGCAGTGTCTAAAAGTCTCTGCCACACAAACAGAAACAGTGATGCTCCCTACAATTCTTGGGAGCTGTCATTTTCCAACATGCTTGGAATGGGCATAGCATGTGGGGAGCGTAGTGAAGTCGGAGACAGCAGACTTTGGATCCTTGGCCAGGCTCCTTACTAGCTGTGAGGTCTTAGATGAGCCATCTCACTTCTCTGAGTGGCAGGTTCCTGAGTAGCAAATTTGGAATAACAGTGGTAGTCATCTGACAGGCTGTTGGGTGGACTGAAGGAGATGTCTAGCACATAGCAAATACCTTGTAGTGAAGCTATTATTCTACACACAGCAGAAGAAGGGCTTTCTGATGACTTAGGTAAAGGATTTTAGTAGTTCTCCAGTCCTTTATTGCCATTCTACCAAATCCAAACCTTTTTTTTTTTTTTTTTTTTAATTAACTATTGACACCTTAAGGAAGCCTACAAGGAGTAAAAAGAAATGCATATTCTTCTTTGGCTAGTACATAGGATCATTTGTCTTTGGTATTGGGTAATAGGACTATATGAAACATTGTTCACATTAGTCAGACACAAGGGAACAAGGCCACTGGGTCTTTGGGTTATTCTGATTCATTTCCTCACCATTAGACCCTGTGTGGTCCTGGCACTTTGCTGGAGGTGGGTATCTGTTCTGTGCTGAACCCTATCACTTTCTTGCTTGTTAGCATGAGCTTTAGTATAACAGTGTTTATCAAACTGGGCTTCCAAAGAATCTCAGGGTTCCATAGGCCTGGAGTGAACAACAGTTAAGAGCATGGCTATTGCCCACCACCAGTGAGAATAACAGATAAGTGCCAAGCTTTGGAGCTAGGCAGATTCAAGTTCAAATCCTAGTTCTGCCTCTTCATCTACATCCCATGGGACAAGTCATTTTCTCTCCCTGTAACTCAGATTCCACAATTATAAAGATGGAGATAGCCTTACTGGGTTGTTATGAGTATTTTAAATGATATTTGCAAAGGTCTTGTAAGTAAGTCTGGTGCATGTAAATGTTCAATTGCTAATAACGATTATTATTATTCTGAGAGCTGGACCACAGTGTTTCACTGCTAACTCAGATAATGGCAGTCTTTCCCAGTTAGCAGAAACATATGCTAATTGAGAAATTTGCTGCAATTTATTTTCCATACATTTTCCAGCAAACCATTACTTGTATAATATAAGAAAATAAATGCAACAAAAGAATTAAATAGTAAATACATATTAATCTGAAACTTTTAAGCAGCTGATTACATCTGGTTTGATACTGGGTTTTTCATGGATGGTTGTTCTCATGGTTGTGATTTCATGTTGCATACAGGCAACAGTTATCTTCTGCTAGCAGATTAAACATGTTAATATCCCATTGTACTTGATGGAAAGAGCAGTCTTTTTCAAAAGGTGCCATGACTTCCAGATGACCCCACCTGAACAAGGATGAGAACTGCTGGAGCAAAGTGAATCACTTGGGGATGGGAACCAGTCAGGGTCATCTCTACTGATCAGCACAGGGCAAGTGATGAATCATATACAGGGTCTTCAAAATTCTTACCCTATCTTTGGCTGCCATCTGCTGTAAGGAGCTGTAGTGGGCAACTGCGTATTCCAGTAGCGCCCCAAACACGAAGCTAAAGCAGATCCCCAGGTACACATCGATGGCCTTTATGAAACAGTTGGTATTGGGAAGAGAAGTGCGGGACCCGATCATCAGCGTTGTCATTGACAATACGGTAGTCACTCCTGGGAAAACAGGTAGGCAGTGTTCCCACATCAGTGGTCTGTGAACCTTTCACCTCTACCTGGCAGACTGTCATCATTCAGGATTTGGCAAAGGGGGACAGAACTCAGAGATGGAACAGCTTATTTTGAAAAATCTGTGATCTTCTAGAACAGGATTGATTTATCCATTTTGAATGGCTAGGAGTGATAGAGTTTTCTAAATGTTTTACCTTCTGTTTTCCCACTGGAGGGAAGTGTTCAGTAGGCAAAATAACAGGTAATAGACCATCCAATCACAATTCTCTCTTATCACTGTAAAACATGTTTTGAAAGTCACTGTCTCTCTCTTTCTCTCTGTAAAAGATCTCTCAAGAAACCAACTCCTAGAAGCATCATATGAATATCAGTGGGAAAAAAAGAAAACTGGTAGAAGGTAAAAAGAAACAAAGTTTTTGTTGTTGTTGTTGTTGTTGTTGTTTTGTTTTGTTTTGTTTTTGTAACCACAGTTCTTAGAAATCTCCTGTTGGAGCTACTTACCAATGCAGGTTCTTGCAGGAACTGAATCAAGGGAAATCCAAAATGAAACCCAGGATAACACCACCAGGAAAGTGGAAGGAACATAGGTTTCCAAGATGAAATACAGGACATTCCTCCGAAGCTCAAATTGCAAGACCAGTCGTGTGTAATTTCCTGATTGGGTAAAGAAGAGATAGGAAATCATGTCTCCTCACACAGCAGAGTGCTTTCCCTATGGGACATTTAATTAGCTATATTCACATTAATTTATCTGTTATTCACCAAAACCTAGTTAAGCATGAACTATCATTACAGTTTCACTGGGAGAAACTGCTGTTGCATAGAATGAGATGTAGAGGGGTGCTGGTACCCCCACCCCTGATCCTTTTCTTGTGCCTTGCTCTGTCCTAGAATTCCTGTAGCATTATACCTGCTGGTTTCCTTGACGTCTACCTCACTAGACTCCGAGCCCTTGGGGGGCCATTTCAATACTGGGTGTGAAGTAGGTAATAGTGTCAGGACCAAATCCTCCTGCCCTACCACACTGTGGAGGGGGTTCCTGAGCGCCAAAGAGATAAAGTGGAAAAGAGATGGTATTTCTGACTCAGAATGCAACTCAGTTATTTTGCTTTTGTACAATGCATCTCATGAGTCACCTGTTTCCTGTCGCGAACTGGTCACCAAGGTGAAATACCGTTGGATGGTATACTGAGCAAGCCTCAGGTTTTCCAGCCCACGCACAGAGTCATTCCCTCTCAGCCAGCTGAACTCCACGTCGTTTCCATCATAGCCCCCTGGGAAGGAAAACAGTGCCCTGGTCAGTGCAAGAAGGCGGCAGAAGAACTGGTCTGGAGACTACTACCATGTGTGGGCAGAACGAGCTCTGTCTTGATAGTGAGCCCATGCAAAACCTGGTGTGATTTCTCACATGCAACTGCAGTGTCTTCCCAGAACAGGACGACCAGCTAGGGCTATTTGCCATCAGTCAAAAACCAGCTCTGTGCTAAGCATCACAGAGACTTGGTAGGTAATAGGCCTCTAGGATGATATTTATTGAACTCATTCCTATCTGTGAACACACACAGCCATAAGCTCCACAGTGCCTTTCAGGACAGTCTAGCAGCCCCCGCTGTGTTCTCAGTGACCTTACAGTTGGTCTGTTCCTATTTCCATGTTGGCTTAAATGCAAGCACAAAAACAGAAGAAGACAAGAAACCTGCAGCTAGCCCCTATATTGATGTCTGTTAACTTAGGCATTCGATAAATCTCAAGGCTGTTTTACTAATATAGTTCATAATAATAATAATAGCTACTTTTTATGAAACATTTATGCTAAGTCTTTTATACATTATGTCTCTAATGTGCTCACAAACTTGCAAGGTAGGTATTTCTATATTTCTTCACTAAAAATTTTTTTCTTTACAGTTTTGGAAATTGGGATGGATCTCAGAGTTGATACATACATACATACATACATACATATAAAGTAGAGCTTACATTTTTTCCTAAAATGTTACTCAGTAAATGCTGTGCCTTAGAATAGAGGAACTGTAATATTTTGCCCATTTTATACATGAAAATTCACAGATTCAGAGAGATTGCCTAACTTTCTCAGGATAGCAAAGCAAGTTAAAAACAAAGCCAGGATTTTATGTTCAGAAAGTCTAAACCTGTGGGACACCTGGGTGGCTCAGTCAGTTAAGCCTCTGCCTTTGGCTTGGGTCATGATCCCAGCATCCTGGGATTGAGTCCTGCATCAGGCTCCTTTCTTGGCAGGGAGCCTGCTTCTCTCTCTGCCTCTGCCTGCCACTCTGTCTGCTTGTGCGTGCTCTCTCTCTCTCTCTCTGACAAATAAATAAATAAATAAATAAAATCTTAAAAAAAAAAAAAAAAAGAAAGTCTGAACCCAAAACCCATGGGTGATGATAGTGATGGTAATAGCTATCATTCCATGAGCAATTATGGTTTTTTAAAAATATTTTATTTATTTATTTGACAGAGATCACAAGTAGGCAGAGAGGCAGGCAGAGAGAGAGGAGGAAGCAGGGTCCCCACTGAGCAGAGAGCCTGACGTGGGACCCAATCCCAGGACCCTGAAATCATGACCTGAGCTGAAGGCAGAGGCTTAACCCACTGAGTCACCCAGGTGCCCCAGCAATTATGTTTCTAAGTTGCTTTACAACATCATCATCTCATTTAATCCTCAGAATATCTCTCTGAGAAGACAGATGAGTGGTCAATAAGTACATGCAAAGATGTCTGACACCATTAGCCATTAGGGATAAGCAAATGAAAATCACGGTCAGATACCATTTCACACCTGTAAGAATGGCTGTCATGAAAAGACAGACAATAACCAATGATGAGAATGTGGAGAAGCTGAAACGTCGCCAGCGGGAATGTAAAATGGTACAACCACTTTGGAAAACAAGTTGGCGGTTTCTTGAAAACTTGAACATAAATTTACCATTTGATCCAGCATTCCGTTCCCACGTATCTGCCCAAGAGAAATCAAATCACGTCCACAAAAAACTTGTAGACAAATGTTCACAGTGGCATTATTCTTAATAACTACAGGGTGGAAACAAGCCAAAGGGACGTGTACTACTTACTCTTTCATATGGAAGAATGAGGAATAAAGCAATAAAAGGGAACAAAACGATACAGTCTCCAACATGTATGAGCCTCAAAAACATGCTAAGTGAAGGAAGCCAGATGCAAAAGACCACATGTTGTATTGATTCCTTTTGTATGGAATACTTTTATACTCACAGAGACAGAAAGTAGAGTAGTGGGGCTGGTGATGGCAACCGAAGACAATGTAAACGGGCAGAAGGAATCTTTTCGGTTGATGGAAAAGTTCTAACCATGAAATGTGGCCACGGTTGCACTACTTGACAAATTTACTAAAAATCTTTGAATTGTACACTTGAAAGGGCTGAATTTTATGGTATGCACATTTTACCTTAATAAAACTGTGAAAAGATAACTCTTTGAGTCAGATACTGTTATTTTTCCTCATTCACTGATAGGCAGAGTGGGGGCTGGAGAGGTTAGTTCTATCACCCAAAGCCACTGCTAGTGACAGGGAAACCCAGTGATCCCAGAACCTATCATCTTAAACATGGAACTATATTGCCTTCCTTTTCCCAGGCCTCTCGGAGATAGGACCCAGTGTTGGGACTAACATTTTGTTAAGTCCTAGCTTGTGGTACGCACTGTTTAGCCATGGCTGTCTTCCCCTCCACAGGGCAGAGAAGTGGTCATGAGCTCTTAGAGTCTTTCCAGGTAAAAATTGCCTATGGGCTTTCTCTCAGAAGCACGCCAAAATTTACTGTCCAATTTAGCTATCCAAAAATGCCTAGGATCCCCAAGAAATAAAAAAAAAAGTCTAAACAGGTGAATTTTACAAGCTTCTACTTGGACACTTTACTTTTATGACTATTAAATGCTCGCAATCATTACATTATCACGGCTTTTGTGGGATGCTAGCAATTCTTTCCTAGGGATGGTGTTCAGGAAACAACAACAACAACAAAAAACAACCCTTGGTGAGGTTTCTGTACCCAAATAACTGCCAATAAACACTCAGTGAAAGCTTCCTCTGCTCACTGGGGAGGGTATTCATGCAAGCCAAGTGCTGAAGTTTCCAGGAGAATCTCACTCCTGGGATTTGAGATGAGCAGAGCCACACGTGGAGGGCAATTACTTTTTTCCGTGTGGGGCTGAAAATGAGTTCTCTTTTTGATAACCTCAAGTTTTATTCTGCCCCCAAATAGCTGTATTGCTTTAAGGAGATTTTGTATGCATTTAATCAATAGGGTAATTAATCTGCCCATCTGAGTCTTTAATTAAACGTCTACCTCTGAAAAATGACTGCCACCTCGTAACGGTTATGCTTCTTGGATTCATGTCCTCATGTCAGAAATTCCCGGTGATCCCCAGTGCTTGACTATGGTTTTTCCTCCTGGTATAAGCCATCCCTGGATGCCTGAATGAGGCATCGTTTCCCCAGGACACCTGTGGCAGGTACCATTTTCCCAAGTTTGGTTGCCATTTCAGAACAATGGAGATTTATCCAACAATGCCATTTGATACATATCAACTTAGAATAAATACTCATTCCTCATCATAGATCTTCAGAATGCAGTTTAGATGCTCCTGCATTGTTGTGTTAAGCCATATATGTGTGGGTGTGTGGGTGTGTGTGTACATATATATGTATATATCATATACATACACACACACCCACACACACCCACACACACCCCCACACACAAACACCAAGCAACTTCTTTTCAAAGTTGGAAGCAGTTGTGCAATAAATGTCAATGACTGCTTTGACCAGTTACCAATTTTAACCTCTGCTGTGTTCTTTCTGGCTTCTGTGCCTTCTCAGATTCTGAATCCCATTCCTTGTCCTATAGACTCCCACTTCCTTGGCTGTCCTGTCTACTCTTAGGTAGAAATATTTAGTGCCGATGCACAGTGGTCCTCCCCCAAATGATGTAGTGTCAGAGGGCTATCTTTGCGAGGTCTCTAAATCTCTCTGGACAGACACTCAGAAGGGCTGAATCAACACCAAGAAAAGAAAGGCTGCTGTGTGTTTCTTCATGAATACATGGCTCTAAGTCATGTCACCCAGGAAAATCATCTTGGGGGCCTGCAGGATATACACTCACAGCTTTCCAGTTGCAACTTGCATGTCTGTGTGTCCATGGGGTATTTCGACAGGTCCATGTTACACGCAACAGTCGTTGTGATTCTAAAAAAGGAAAAATGGGTTCAAAAGGAGTGATATGGGGGAAAGGATACATTCCCTTTTAAGGGCCACTCCAAGAGTACTCTGACCTTGACTCTTACAGTGAACGTGTGACTTGCAGCCTGCACTCAAAACATTCCTGAGGTTTTCTGTGCTACATAACACCTTTGAGTTGTGGTCAAAGCTGGTGTCCAGAATGGAGGAAACTGGAATGTGGGCAGTGAAGAGGCAAACTTAAAAGAACATTGCAGAAGAGAATTGCTCGTTGGTTTGACATACTTTTGCACCCAGTTTTAAAATGTAATCTTCATGACAAACCCAGGAGGAGCTAGAACAGAGAGCACTGTCACTACTGTCCCCATTTGACAATAGACTCAGGAGCTTGCCTCAGCTCACACAGCTCCTAGTAGCTGGAGCCCAGGTCTCCAGGCTGGAGATCAGCATTCTTGGAGGAAGTAGAGGATGTTGGAAGGTCCCAGGCAATGTGGCTCTTGGGGACCAACACCTAGAGACATTCACTTAATCATCAGCAAAGCCCTCACGGTGGAGATTTCAATAGGCTGACCTTTATCTTCCTTTTTTTTTTTTCCCCTTCAGTGTCACATATTTTGACTAAGCACCATTTTTATTAAGCACTGTGCTGGCTTCTTGGGGAAAGTGAAATGATGCATACATGGTGCCCACCTTGAGGAAGCTCACACTCATTTCAGGGAGACAGAGAATGACAACATCTACCATTTACTGCGCGCTTACCCCATGCCAGTCCTGGGTCGAGGTGCATCTCATGCATTATTATCCCTTTGAATTTTTACAACAGCTTTATGAGGTAGGAAATATTCTTCTCCTTTTGCTGCTGAGGAAACTGAGATTGAGAGAACCCAGCAACTTCCCTCAGGTCACAGAGCAGGGACAGAACAGGGACTTGCCCCCAGATGTGTCTGATTCTAGAGCCAGGCTGTTAACCATCATCCATAATCCTTGCACAGGACAGATTGTATTATGTGCATAATACAGACAGAAGACAGATTTATACAGGCACAGGAAGGGGGACATTAATGTTGATTGGCGTTGGGGGTCAAGGGAGCAGTCTAGTTTGGCTTCTTGAAGAAAGGGTTGGGGCTTTGGTTTTTGCCAAATTGAGGAATGCCAGATGAACAATTCCAAGATTCAGTTTATTGGCTAGCTCAGTCTTTGTTGCATAATGTCAGCTTCTTACTTGGGATCTACAATAAGTCCCATGAGTATTTGGTTTCTGGGCTTCTCCCCAAAGACTGTGGGGGAAGGTATGCTGGGTCCTTGCACATCCCTTGCACAATGATGAGCCTTCCCTGTGGGTTGCCTCTTGCTGCATCTAGAGAGCACCTTGCCTATTCTAGCCAACCAGCCACTTGATGCACAACTGGGTGGAAGGAAATTTTGGCTTCAGGGACTCGGGGAAGGGACAAAGGAGAACCCATGACTCCAGATGGCAGAGGCCTTGGGGGCACTGCACTTGGCTTCTCTGCAGAAAAATGCCTCAGCCAAGGAGAGATGCATTCTAGGACAACCGTAGCTCCACTGAGCCCCATGAAAAGAAAATCCCTAATGTGGACCTACCTCTCTGTCACTCTTGCTAGTCCCCTTATTCCCTTGTTAGCTTTTTTTTTTTTTTAACTCTTTAAGAATCAGCTCTGAGTTCTGTGAAAGCCTCCTCTAGCACCACCCCAAACCACTAACTTACTGCCCAACTCAGCTCCCTGCCCCCGGCCGCGATGCTGTTCCTTTGTTTCTCCATCTGCATCAGGACAATGTCTCTCATTCAGCTGTGGATTCTCAGTGTCCATTGTGGGTCCTGGCACAGAGCAGGCATTCTGGAGCTGCTTGTTGAGCCAAACTGAACTGAAGGAGGGCCCTTCTGTTACAGGGACAAAATTCTAGGAAGGCAGGAGCATGAGAAGGGTAAGACCTCAGGGTGCTTATCTGAGTGCTGCACAGAACCACCAGGAGATATTTATGCCTTTTCTTCTAGCCATTTCCCCATTCTGCCCTGAGGTGGAAGGGACCCAGTCACCTGAGAGCATACAGGACGGTGCCATTGGAGAAGAGGCGAATGAGCCTGTTCCCCACAGTGACCTCATGGAGGAAGGACTTCTTGGATTCCACAATGTAGGTGTCCGGGACCCAGAGGAACTCCACGAGGCGTGCATCCAGAGTGAAGCTCTTGTTGCCCTCAAAAACCAGCCGCTGGTCTGTCCAGCGCTGTCTGAGGTATATGGTGGCGGTGTAGTCCTGAGGGGAAAGCCAAGTGGTAGAAATGGATGTTGGGGGTGGCAGCGGGGGAGAAAGACTTTGAAAATGGAAGGAAAGGGGTGAAGTCTTACTCCCCTTCCAACCTTGACTTAGGTCAGGAGTACAGACTATAAAGTCTTATTCTTGAGGGAGTGGCCTGGAGCAACAAGAGAAGAAAGCACCTCATTTATTCTAGACAATAACTCTCACTGCCAAAAGGGAGCCCCACAGGAGCATGTTCAGGGCCTTAACTTGCTTGCCCTCTGTCCCAAAGGCCCGACCAAGTTGCTGAAGGTTTTGGTGAGCTAAGCAATTAGGTGGTCTAGAATTTACCAGGAAGGCAGAGCAGGACCCCTTGGGCAACCTACATTTAGTGTCACTTTGTCTTTAATGGTTTCTCTCTCTCTCTTTTTTTTATTTTAAAGGTTTTTTTTTTTTTTTTTAAGATTTTATTTATTTATTTGACAGAGATCACAAGTAGGCAGAGAGGCAGGCAGAGAGAGAGAGGAGGAGGCAGGCTCCCCACTGAGCAGAGAGCTCGATGCGGGGCTCGGTCCCAGGACTTGGGGATCATGACCTGAGCCGAAGGCAGAGGCTTTAACCCACTGAGCCACCCAGGCGCCCCTTTAATGGGTTCTCTTAAGTGAGAGCATGGTGGAGAGCAGTCATGTGATTGTCAGCTGTCAACGGCTTAGCTTCTCTTCTGCTCCGGGAGGACCTATGTGATACTCAGCCTTCCCCAGGGTACTTCCATTCTCTCCCTGGTTTCAAATGCACCCACTCCAATCCCTCTTCTTTTCCCTCCTGGCTCTTGAATCTACTTTCCTCCTGATATGCGGCAGATCTGTTTTACAAGAATCTTCTGCTACCTTGAGTTTAGGGATAGGTCTCCAGCTTCTGCCATTCCAAGTGCATGGGGGTGGTGGGTCTCTGTTCTGTTTTCGAGTAGGTAGAAAGTGCATCCCCATAAAACACAAGAAGGGCTCCTCAGGGGGAAGATGAAGAGCCGCACTTACCATGTTACTCTCTGAAATACTAGAAATACTTGCAATGTCCAGAGTCAGTGCTATCTGAACTGGTTCTCCTAAGAATGAAGAAAACACCAGAAGGACTTACACAGAAACACAAACACGCTATGTTAGCACAGTGCTTTAAAAATTAGGAAATATAAAGTAACACTGGCCTATTGGAAAATTTTAACCACTCTGAAAGTATATAAAATGAAAGGAAAATTTCTATCCTCCCCTTGTCAGGAAGAACCACTGTGTAGAATGGAAAAAAAGTATGAAAAAATTTTTGTATAAAATGCACAAATATATAAATAGCTTAACATGTAAGAGAGACCACCCTATGTTCACAAGTGCATATTTTAGAGGATGTAGTGGTATTTGTTACTTTTTTCTTGGAGGATGTTTCCTGTGGTGCTTGTAAGAGACCCAACTGTTTAGAAATGTAGTATGAGATTTGGAAATTTATGCACGGAGATCTTTTTTCCCTCCCCTCAACTAAGTAAATTTACCACAAGATGGCATTCAAGACTGCTCATGATTGAGCTCTTGCTTACCTCCTGCCACTTCCCTCCTCTTCCTTTACTCTCCAGAAATCCTAAACAATTTAGAATTCCAGAACCTTCCCCTGCGATCTGGTTTACAGATATTGGGCCTCAGGCCAAACTCCTGAGAGTGCCGGTCTCAGCTCTTGAGAAAGAGGCCTTAGGGCCACCATTCTCAGAGGCCAGGCCAGAGCAAGTCTGTTTCTCCTCAGACTGTAGATGTGAAAGGAAAGCTCAGGGGTGAGAAAGATGTGAGTTCACAGCCTGGAAAAGTTACTGAAGCTTTCAGAACTACAGTTTTCTCCCCTGTGAGTAAGGCTAATGCTAATGACATCATGGTGGCATGGAGAGGGTTAAATGAGATTAGCAAGTGACAGCTTCTTTACAGGGTGATGGCAAGAGGAAATACTTGAGAAGAAGGTGATCAAAAATAATGATCTGTACAAAGTCCCAGGACTGTGTCTGTCACATAATAATAGAGATTCAATACATGGCATTCGCCTTCCCTTCCCTATCACCTCCGTAATCCTAGCTAATTCTGGAAAAGGAACAAATTTACTCACCAGGTTAATAGCTGCAATAGCTTTCACTTGAAATAAATAAGTTGGGGTGCCTCAGGGGACTGTGACAATGCATTAACCAGGAAGAGGAGAGGTGGAATTCAAAGGAAGCTTAAAACCATCTAATTGCTAGGAATCAGACAAAGCAACTTAATTATTAACTTAGGAAACCAAGCCATAGAACGTAGGTTGGAATTTGGAAAGGGAGTTTTAGAACCAATGCAGTTAAGAATAATTTAGCTAATACTTGGTGTTAATATTCGGTGGAAGAGTGGGAGACTTTGAGGACAGACCCTGGAAGGTGATGAAGGAGCACGGTGCTAAGTGGCTTTCTGGCCCTCAAGGCAGAAATTAAGACAAGGAGTTTGGAGTCAGAGTGTTTGAATCCCCATGCCCACCACTTGGTGGCCATGTGACCTTGAGTAAATTGCTGAAGCTTTTCGTGCTCCAGTTTCTCACCTGTGAAAGAGAGCTATTCGTGTCTACTTCTGAGGGTTGGGTTGGGAAGGTAACGGGATCTATTTTTAAGTGTCTAGAGCACAGTGAGCAGTGGGTCAGTGTTATCTGCTCCCTGAGGAACATGGAGAACAGAAAGTGCACAAAAGTCCACTCCACTGTGCTGTTTCATTTGCTTCCAGCTAGTCCAGTCTGGACCTTGCTTCATTTGGCTTCTTTATGTACCAGAACTTGCTTTCTTCCCCTTGCGTTATAAGAGTGAACTGTGCCACCAGAGGGCAGCTTCCTCCTAGGAAAGAGGTCAAAGCTAGTTCCTGGACAGTGTTCCTAGGGCCTGCTTACACACCTGCACTCTGGCTACCTCATTCCCTGAAAACCCTATGGAGGTCTTGTCTCTTAAGGACCTCAAGTGGGCAGACATTACAGAGAACATGGTCCCTGTACAGAATCCCAGGCTGCCACATACGGGTAGGTTCCTTTAGAAGACAGATTGCCAAGGTCTTGCGGCCTGTGCTTTCCCCTTTTCAGCCCAGGTGGATCTGGGACTCATACTCCTCAGGTCTACCCTGGATTCAGAATGGGCACTTTGCCCAAGAACCTTGCCTCTTGTCGACCTGTGAGCAGGCAACAAGAAGGGCAGTATCCTGGCTTTATTTGGTGTTTGGGAGGCAGAAAAGTTGGACCTAACCAGGGTGTACAGACTCATTTGCTTGTCATTAGTTTTCAGCTGGGCCTGAAAACCAGGGGAGCCTAAAGCCTTCCTAGGTTTGTTAACTTAAGGATCTCAAGTCTTTATTGTGTGCCTCTGAAAATGGTTTCTCTGATCTCCAGCTGAGGTGGGTGTAACTGGGCCAGCTGCTGTGCCCTGAAATCTGTTACAGCACATGCTCTGAGGCCATGCTTTACACGGCTGAGCCCCACCAGTGCCTGAGTGTGGTGGGGATACTAAGGCACACTGTGCCTGGCAGGCAAGGGGACGGGAGACTCCTCTGATGGGAACCTGGGCTCAAGGTCTCCCTGGAGGCCCTTGCAAACACAGAGAACTGCACCATAGTCTAAGACACCTGTGCCCAACCTTCCTGCCCTCCCTCTCTCCTTCCCCCATGGTCAGCTTTCCCCTCTTCCCACCCCACATTCTGTCAGAGGTATTGCCCCAATAAATATCTTGCATGGATAATCACCTTTTGGTGTCTGCTCCTCAGAGGACCTGCACTAACCCACTAATCCTAGATTTGACCAGAGAATTTTGTCATGTGAGGGGAGGAGCAGGAAGAAAGGAAAGGGGATTAAAACAGACCCACGCACCCTGATGACGTGGCAGGCGCCATGCTTCGTGTCACCCACTTCGTCTCAGTCAGTCCCCTCTGTGAGCTGGAAGATATACCCCCATTTTACAGAAAGGGGGCAAGCAGTAGAGACAGGAGCCAAATGGAGGTTTGCTCAACTCCAAGTCTCTTTCTACCACTTTCTGCTACGTAAGATGACGCTAGCATCCACTTTCGTCAATATCGTATTTTATAAACAGAGACTGTGACCCTGTGAGGAGGTATGAGATTGGCCTCATTCCCTCCCTCCTTGTCTCATTCTGTCACCAAATACCAATTGAGATCTTGCTCTCTGCCAAGCGCTGGGCTGCTGCTGGGGTTAGTGAGGTAAATAAAGCAAGACCCCCTCAAGGGGCTGCAGCCTAAAGCTGAGACAGATGTAAAACCAGCGGCATTGCTGGTACCACCAAGTAATGGCTATGATTTGGAAGCATGTTCAAAACAAAGTATGAAGAATGGGGACGGGGCCTAAAGGAATCAGGGCTGGCTTCCCAGAGGAGGAAAACTTTGATTTCAGACATGAAAAATCGGCATTTTGCCAGGGAGTCAAGTTGGAAGAAGCCATTCTCAACAGATAAACAGTCTCAACAAAGGCATGGAGCCCAGGGAAGCCAAGGGGGTCAGGGAGCATTTGGGACACACTTGTGGCAGGGCAGAGTGGGGAGGAGTTGGGGCTGGCAACACTGGCAGACAGACAGAAGCCGGACTGGGAAGGCCTGGTGTGCCAAGGGGCTCTGGACTCTATGCAGAGGATGCTGGGACATAGGCAGGTGTTCTGAGCAGGCAAAGGGCCCAGGCAGGTCATCCAGGTGGCACAGTTGGGGTTAGCCTTGAGTGACTAGGCTGAAAGCTGGAAGGCTGGGTGGTGTGGTCCTGGTGAGTTCCTTAAATAATGACACTGGAAGTGGGGGCAGAAGGAAGACAGTGTGTGAGGGGTTGTTAGAAGCTCTGGTCCCCTCCTTAGCGGGGATGAGGATTTCTTTATCCTGCAGGTTGAGAGGCAAAGTACCTTCTGAAAAGTAGTGTGAAAATCAGTGGCTGTCCTCACCCTTCACTGCTCAACCTTAACAGGTCACAGACCAGAAAACGGAGTCAACTAAAACCTTCTGAAACCCTCCTCTGCATATTGCCTCTGTTCTTGTCCTTTTGAATTAATGTCCTGGATGGACAAAAAAGATGACTTACCACCAAAATTGGGCCTGAGAAATTTGTTATATCCTGCTGTGAGATTCTCAAAGCCTGGCAGGGAGAGCTTATCACTTCTGCTGACCTCGAGGTTGAACTGATTCCCCTGGATACATATCCTGGAAAAGAAAGTGGGTATTGGTGCATGTGCTTATTAAGGTGTGAATAAGCATGTAGACACATAAACTTGAGCTTGTGTTTGCACGTAGGTGTGTGTGCTGTACCCACGTACCAGTGGTGACTTTCCCAGAGAGAAATCTCTAATTTTCGGCTGCTAAGTTAATATGTCCCTATCCCACTCCATTTTATTGTCTGTTTGCCATACATCATCAGAACGCTGAGGTAATTTGGGAAACCCTTCAAGTGTCTTTAGAAAAAAGCACAAGGGGTTCATCCATCTATGACCATGTTGGAAGCTTGAGTTCTCCAGATAGAATATACGGCAGGAAGTTATGCTGTCTGGGTGTATCAGGAAGGTGGATAGACTAGGCTTTATCTTGCCATTGGTAAGTCGGAGGTCCTGCCACCCTTCCTACTTCATGCATATATGCAAAGCAATTCACCAAGGTCATTGTGAGATAGCAAACTCACCTTGGAGTGAAGAGACTCAGACATATGAAGGTCAAGGGGAGACTGTATTTCATGTTGATAAGGCGCTCATGCAGAGAGGGACCAAAGTAGAAATCACCTGGGGAAACAAGATGGGAGAGGTGACCCAAGGGGCTCACCTGCTCCAAGCCCAGCTCCATCCCGTGGGTCATCAGCTGCAGTATTTTCTCAGAATGTGTGGGGAGCAGGCTCTTTCCACACCATTTGGTTATAGTTCCTATTCCCTCCATGCCATCCAGGAATGACTTCATTTTGGAGGATCACGTCATAACTCCAACCCAAATAAAGGCTGACACCTTGTTTAGAGAGTGGCTCAGAAGCATCAGAAATGCAGCCAGTCATCCTTGCCTGTGTATCTGGAGAGCCCCAAGACTGTCTTTTCCCTGTCCTGATCCTGATTTTGCCAGGAAGGACACCCCCAACTGTGCACTCACCCCGACAATGCCATTAATCCAAGGGTCTAGGCCTGTTAAGCAGGTCAGGTAGACAGGAAATGAAAACTTCCCAATAACAAACAAGCGAACTTCCCAAGAACCTTCCACGTGCCAACGAATACATCAGATACTTTCCCACGGATCTTCTCACTCCGCCATCACTGTGCCTTTGTGAGCTGGGTATGTTAATCCCGCATTGTGGTGAGGAAAGACTCACAGAAAGGTCACTGTGAATATCAGAGGAGACTCTGAGCAAGGGCTGGCAGCCTTGCAACCGTGATATTGGCAGCTCTCCCAACCTCCCAGACCTGCTCCCTGGGTGCTCTGAAGCCGTTCTGCCGGTTGGGTGAGTGAGCATCGTGTATGCGTGAGGATGGTCAGGGAAGACATGGCCCAGGGGCCTGGTCTCCTCAGGCTTGGGAGTTCCTATCAGGTGTTCCTCCTGAGAGAGCAGCCGGCAGCCAGGCTGGTGAGCCTGCGACTCGTCATGCTGTTGACAGCAGAGTGGGGATTCTTGGGTGCGGCTTAGGGCCTGAGCTGAGGCAGGCAGTCCCAGGGTGGGTCACCCCTTCCTCTGTGGCAACCTCTGTAACCCAGGCCACCTTCAAAAGTCTAGCCCTTCTGGGGCTTAAGGTACCATTCAGCCATTAAGTAACTAATATTAATTTTACTTAGAAAGCAAATACATGCTCATTGTAGAAATGAAAACAAGATAGAGAGGGATAATTAAAAGTGTAAGTCCCAGTGATCTGTCAATGTAGGTTCATCAGTTTAATGAATGTCCCACTCTGGTGGGCGATGTGATAGTGGGGAAGGCTGTATGTGGTGTGGGGTGGGGAGGCTCAATTTTGCTGTGAGCCCAAAATTTCCCTAAAAAAATAAAGTGTGAAAAATTAAAAAACCAAACCCCACCTCTCCCTCACCTCTCTCTAGTCTCACACCTCAACCAGTTGTCTCTTAACAGTTGTGCATTCTATGCATATATTATTGTGTATTTATATACATCTATAGCTGCGTGAAGACAAAATTACAAAATAAAATTCAGGTGATAGTGTGCATTTTTTGATATTTACTTTTTTGCTTAATAATGACAGCCAACATTTCTTAAATACTTAATGCATGCTTACATTCTGCTGAGAACCTCAGAAACTCCTACAACAACTCATTGAGGTAATTACTACCATTCTCCTCATTTTACAAATGAAAAAACTGAGGCTTCGAGAGGACAGGAAACAGTCCCAAGGTTGTAGAGCAGGTGAGGGACAGACCTGAATCTGGGCAACATCACCCCATCTCTTCTAACAGCTACCCCATGACACATGCTCTTCTCCAATGCCAGCTTCTCAGTCCCTACAGACCTGCCTCATTCTCTTTAATGGCTCGAGGTATTTCATAAGATGGGGGTGCCTGGGTGACTCAGGGGGTTAAGCCTCTGCCTTTGGCTCAGGTCGTGATCTCAGGGTCCTGGGATGGAGCCCCGCATCCGGCTCTCTGCTCAGCAGGGAGCCTGCTTTCTCCCCTCCGCTCCCCCGCCCACTTGTGATCTCTCTCTCTGTCAAATAAATAAATAAAATCTTTAAAAAAAAGGTATTTCATAAGATCAATACACCAACATTTATATAACACACACCCTGCACATGGTACTAAATTATTTCCTCATTTTCTACTGTTACAAAATCAGTAATGACATCTTTGCACATATATAAGCTCCTGGAACTCTGCACTCATATTTCTCTTCCTCAGCCCTTTCCTTCTCATCTTTTGCTAAGTCAACATTGTCAATCTGCCAATGATCATATTCAAACCTTCTTCCTTTAGTTCATCTTCCAGTCTCTATTCATTCCCCTGTCCCTGGCATCAAGTTTAACAGTGTCCAAGGAGTGGCTCCCATGACTTCCCATCCCTTCATTCAATTTTCCAAAGGCTTAATTAACAAGCTCCTCCTGGGAATCAGGCATGTGGGAGTCATCCCCAGAGTTCCCGTCTAGTGAGAGAGAGAGGAGCCTAAGCAGTGAAGTGACACAGCGTTCCCTGAGACTGTCCTATACCAGGGACTGACGCAAAGGGGTACATGGTGTGCAAAGGAAGCAAGTGGTCAACTCCATGGGGAAGGGTGGGACAGTGCCAGGATGGAAGTCTTAGAGAGATCACTAGATTTCTTGAAGAAATTGTTTCCACCTGCCAGATGGGCCCTCCGGATGCTGGGCAAAGATAGGGAGGCTTGCCTACCAACACTCTCCCATCCACTTAGGCTCTGTCTCTCCTCTCTAGCCCGTGGCCACCTGTGACTTCTTCCTGCTCTGTTCTGGCTTAGCTTCATTCTCATTTTGGGATATTCTTAAATTCTTCCTCCTCTAATGGGAAATTGAATTTATCAGGCAAGTTGGAGAACAATCTAGCTTCAGCTCCAAGACTCCTATTGAATCGTGTTTCTCTATGTTAGGGACCTGGGCCTCTGAATCTGCTCCATGACGTCTTGTGTCTGAAAAGCTTTGCCCACACCAGACCTGGAAAAATGTCCCCATGTGACCTTGCTTGATCTGGTCAGATTGTTGAACAGGTCTCATTCTCTTAAGGAAGAAAAGAGAAGAGGAAGCCCCCTAGATGCTGTGCTTGGCGTTTAATTGCATTTAATTCTCATGACCATCAGGCCCAGTGGGAGTGAATTTCTAGAATCTCAGGTTGGTGAAGGGATTTGGCCAAGGCCACAAAGCAATTAAGTGTCGTGATTTGAATCCAAGTCTTCCAGGCCCCTGTTCTTTGCACTGCATTTAGGAAGAGGGCCCCAGCTCCCACAGTGAATAGGATTCTGCTTGACTCTGGTCCTTCTTACACCAAACCCACCTCTGAGAGAGGGTGCTGCATCCACACTATATCCCAAATGGCAACCCAACAGTGCTGGTGCCTTCAGCCTGCCTGGCAGAAGAGCCAACCGCCAAGCAATGGCTTATGTATCTGCCCTCCTGAATGAAGGCTCCGGCCACCAGTGCTGACGCAGACCTGGGAATGGCATTCGGCAGCGCCACATACTGACCCACCAGAGGGGAGTGCCCTGAGGGGTTGTCCCCAGAGCTACGGGGACCTGGAGAGTCCAGCTGGATCTAGCCCTTCCCACCTGCAGGGAACACGGTACTCAGAAGGTCTCCAGAGGTTCCTGAGTAGAGGCAGCCTAGAACTTTTACCCTACTCTGATGGGTTCTCTGCCAAGATCCCTCCTCTACATAGAAAGGTTTGAACTTTGGTATGACACACCTGAGTCATTTAATCTTTCAGAGTGTGGGCTCTCCTATCTGAGAAATGGGAACAGAAAGCCCTCCATAAATACTAATTTTCATTCTCCTCTCCCTTTGGCATCTTCTAAGGGGACTTCAGGGAGCCCACTCTGACCATGAGAGCCCAAAGCTCAATCTCATCTAATACCCCTCCGCTGCCACCCAGGGCAGGAGCTGACTGTAGTGTCCTTTTCAGGGCCCTCATTTTGGCATCAGCTCAGGAAGGACAGGGTCAAGACACAGGACTGCAGGGTCACCCAGGTGGCAGATGGCAGCTTTTTCTGGACTGGCTCTAAGAGGCAGAGGTAATTCCAATATGCGCACATTTCCGTTCCCATTCCCAGAATCTCCATTACGCAGACAGTGAGCCCCAAACTTGTCCTGCTCTGGCCTTCTTCCCATGCAGGTAGAGTCCCCTGACTTCCGTCACTTCTGCACAGACAGAATCATTTGTTGGGAAGCGGGAGTGGAGCCCAAATTAGGTCGAGGCAAGGAAAGCATTAATGCCATAGGAGCCTCCTTAAGAAAATCACAGCAGATGAAGTTGTGGGGTATGGGGGGCCCTGGTTGATAGTGCAGAGAGGAAGGAGCCCTTGTGGCTCTAGAGTTAGACAGAAGAAGCTCTAATCTTGACTCTGCCACTGACTTTGAGATTGTGTTGCTTCTCCCTGAGCTTTAGTTTCCTCCACTATAAAATGAGATGGTAATCAACAGTTTTTCAGACAGTGGTGAGACCTGATACAAAGTAGGTGCTCAGCAAATTCTAGGCCCAGCCGCCTCCTCACTCCCAGCAGGGATTGTACCTGAATTTCCTTCCCTTTCCTCCCTCCAAATACTAGAGGGCCCAGCAGTTTTCTTACCAGGATGCTACCGAGGCTCTGTTAGAGCAGGTCCTTCTGGCTTTTGGGCTGGGCATTCAGGCAGAACATGGTCTTCCGGGTCCCTGAGAGTCTCATCATCCTCAGCCCTGACGTGCGGGCTGCAGGCAAACGGCCACTCTCTGATGGAGTGGCTCTCCCCATGGGGAAGACAGAGCTGCAAGACTGGCTAGGCAGAGAAGTGGGCAGAACCTTCCATGGCTCCTCCCTTGGGTGGAGCTCTGACCTGGTCCCTGGTGTCTGTGGGAATCACCCAGCTCCTGCTATGACTCCTGGCTGCCAGGGCTTTGATTCTGAGTTGGTGTCTCGGCTGAGCTCCTGCACCACAGCCAGAAAAGAATCTTGAGATCAGAGACCCATGAAAGTCCAGGACAGTGGGTGACCCCACCCACCATGCCTGGAAGATGGGTCCTGGGCTCTGAAATTTGAGGACACCTCTATCCTGGTGTCATGGAGCAGCTCTTAGCAGCACGTAAGACCTTGGGCAAAACCACTTTACCTCTCTAGTCTTCAGCTTCCCATCCTGAAGATAGAACTTGACCATTTCTAAAATTCTCATTCCTTGGGCACTTTAAGGGCACCTTCAGAATCAACAGAAGCCTAGTGTTTGTAAAAGGAGACTTGCAGATCTGAGGCCATTGTGGGAAGTTTTCAAAAGAGGTAAAGGGCCCAAGGGAAAGGAGGATTGGGGCTGAGGCAGCCAGCCTGGAAAGAGGTGGGAGGGACTTTGGGAAAAATCTGGCTAGATTTCTCGATCTCTCCTCCTTCACCATCCCCGTCCCTCACATAGAAGGTTTTTAACTCCCTGTGAAGCCCCTTTAGGGTTCTCTGTCCTCCATAAGCAGTTGAACCTCCTACCAGAAGGGCTTCAACAGTGTGCACAGACTCCTAAATTCTCCCTGTCACCATAGGCAGTGGCCGCAAAACTCACCCCCGGCTCCAGACCCATGGGAAGGCGCAAGGAATTCCCCGGAGACGTGGCTTTGTGCCGTGAGGGAGCCAGGAGCAGGGAGTCCGATGGAGGGGCCTGGGAGAGAGTGGAGGCTGTGGCCAAGAAGCCCTGAGGTGCCTCCTGCCCTCCCGACAGCATGGCCAAGCCCCTGCCCAGACCCCTGCCAGTCTTGGAGAGGAGAAGGTGATGGGACAGGGGAGGAGCAGGACGGGGAGTGAATGAAGCTGCAAGGAACAAAAGGGGTAGGATGGAGCGGGTGGGCATCCCATAGAAGCCTCTGGCTCCAAACCAGTTTCCTCAGTGTGCCCTGGAGCCTGGCCGGCCTTGTGAGCATTTCTGTGCACCCAAAGAGAAAGCTCTTTGATTTCTCCTGAGAGGCCTCCTCACTTTCACCTGGGAACCTTGAAGGCGGCTGAAACAGGAAAGGCTGAGGAGCTGGTTTCAGGTTCCCAATGAATGGAAACTGCTTTGTGGTTTTTCTCAGGGTTTCCAAGATGTGCTCGCAGAAAACAAAGGCTCAAAAGTAACAAAGACAATGCAGAGCTGAGGGTAGGGGGGCGGGCGTGGGGTGTCCTCTGACACAGGCACGGTAAGACTTAGATGAAAGAACATGGGCCGGCTGGGTGGCTTTTGGCAAGTTACTGAAACCTCTTTGGACCTGTTTCATTTTCTGAGAAAGGAGGAGATGATTTCTGGGAGCACTGTTGAAGAATTCAGTAACAAAGCGAGTGCGGCGTATCTGAAATGACCTGGCACATTGTACGTGCTCAATAAGTCGTTCTTCTTATTCTGATGTTAGTATCTTCTCATGTCTGTACTTCTCTGGCCAATCCTCCATCTGTCTGAGTATCTACAGTCATCATTAATTTATCATATTTATCATCTCTATCATAAGTGGGGAGTTTCCATGGAAGCCAAGTCCAGTGGTCCTGGCCTTGCTCCTTGGCTCCAGAACTCCCGATAGTCTCTGCACCATTCAGGCCACCTAGCTCCCAAGTGTGACCTCTACTCTCAGGGCGCCCGAGGTCAGTGGTATTTCAGGATGTTCAGCTATGCAGACGTACTGTCCATGGGTTACTCATCCTGGTGTCCACCTCCTACACCCCCTGGCTACACACCCTCCTAGAATGTGTCCCAGAAAAACAAACGCCAGAGTGATGGAGTACGCCTTGCCTGGGGCATCGGTCACCATGCACATGAGATAGTATAAATGAAGTATAATGTATAAATAAAGCATAATGACACTGTACGTGTATATGGTGCCCTGTAGTTTTCTGAACCTTTCGATTTATCTGTGTCTTGTCTTGTTTGAGCCACATTAGAATCCTGGGAAGCTAGCAAGGCTTGTTCCTTTATTCTCATTTTGCTGATGAGAAAACTATGCCCAGAGTCACACAGGTACCACGTATGGACTGGAACCCAGGTCTTAGGATTTGGAGTCAGCTGCTTACCACCTAGGTCTGTGCAGTGATCTGGGGTGGGGGTGGGGCAGAGCAGTGGAACAGAGTCCAAGTGAAGCAAGAGACAGAGCCAGCCTTTGGATCTTCCTCTGTCCTGGAAGGCCAAGGTGGGACAAGCCTACCTTGCACCTGGGCTTCTCAGGAGATGCTGCCTAATCAGACAGATTACCGCCCCCCACCCCCCACCCCAACTTGGGGTCCCCGCTGGAAACTATAGACAACCGGGATCTCCTTATTCCCTGCCCCCCACCAACACCTGACTGATCCCCACCCTGGCCACCTTCTCATTTGTCTTCTCTGCATCTCCTCAGTTTGGACACTGGGGTCTCCAAAACGAGGCCTGCAAATACCAGGCTATGAGCAAGAGGAAAGGTGGGGAGAAAATATTAGGATTTCTAGGGCTTCAAACAATGGGACAGACAATTATATCTTCTCATATTACTAAGGGATGGGTACTGGCTGCTCACTGGTCAGTCAGACCATCTGAGGTCACATGCCAAGGTCACATACCGAACAGCCTAGCCACACTGGCCTGAGACAGAGCAGGGGCTCTAAACTGGGAGGGCTTGGCACCCACTCCTTTGCTTTCTGTGTAACTTTACTTTCTGCAGGCCAGGTGGGCCAGGTTAAATGGATCTATTATTTGTTTTCACTAAATAAACCCTGAAGAAAGGGACACATGGCTTAAAAACGAGTCCCGCCAGAAGAAACTACTTCCAGAAGATAGCATTAATAATGCAGAGGCCAGCATCAAGAAAATGGTAGTGTTGATGCTGGGCCTACTTCATGCCCAACATAATTAAACATCTTCTGAAAGAAGAGTTTGAGTGGTTTTCAAACCTTCTGGTGAAAACTAGAAAAAATACAATTGACATGTTCTTAAAAACAACTGATGGACATCAGAGAAGATGGAAATTTACCAGCTGAATTTAAACAAAAGCCTTTGTATAATTAGTGAGAAAGACGAAAACATTAATACTTTAGTAAGCACAGCCAATGAAGCACTTTTTTTTCATTTTTTTTCACTGCACCTTATTGAGGTTATCTTTTTTCAACTCTGAAAGCTGTAAGAATCAAGTATCAAAATAATTTGCACTTAAAACCAGATCTTCTGAATATTGAACTGCAAAATGTTAATATGCAGGTAGCACAACCATCATAGAACATATTGACCACATTGCACTCACTAAAAACATTAGTACTCATAATAATTCCTTTCCGTGCAAAGGTGTTTTTGTACGATTAACCAAATAAAATCATTAAAATTAGTGTTATTTTATCCTTAGCTCACCCATGTACATTCTTCTTTCTGTCTAGGTCTTAACTGTGGTATTGTGATTTGTAATATGACATCTGTAGTTGGCCTTTGTCCTTAAGACTGGCACAGAGCTGAAACCCAGGGATTTTCCAGGTGATGAGCTCCAGATCATATCTTTGTTATGTTAATGCAGCAACTTTTGGAATGCCCTGGGGTCACCTAAGGATGGGGGTTGGTTGCCAAAGGAGACCACCAGGTGACTGGAACTTTCAGTCCCACCCCCTATTTCCAGGGAGAGCAGAGGGGTTGGAGGTTGAATCAACCACTGGTGGTGGCTAATGACTCAATCACATTTAAGTGAACGAAGCCTCCGTAAAACCCTAAAAGGATGGGGTTCAGAGAACTTCTGCACTGGTGAACACATGGGGGTGGCAGGAGAGTGGCGGGCATGGAGAGGGCATGGCAGCTCCATGCCCTTCCCCAGCCCTTGCCTGTGCTTCCCTTTTATCTTCCTATTCCTGAGTTCTAGCCCTTCTAACAGACAGGTCATCTAGTAAGTAAAATATTTCTGAGCTGTGAGCTGTTCTAGCAAATGAATCAAACCAGAGGAGAGGCTCTTTAGAGCTTCTGATCTCTAGTCAGTTGGTGAGAAGCACAGCTGACAAAATGCACTTGTGATTGGCATCTGAAGTTGGGGGCGGGGGCAGTGTGGGGGGACTGTGAGATGTGATGCACTCTCAGAGTAGGTAGTGTCAGAATTGAGTTGAATCATAGGACACTCAGCTAGTTTTGGAGGATTGCTGGCTGGTGTGGGGGAAAAAACCCACACATTAGAGTTGGGTGTAGAATCATTACTTATACCCATAAGTAATTGTATTACTAGTATTACATGTATTAGGACATGAGACATGTATATGATTTCTAAGTACATAAATACATGTATATTGAAAGTATATGGAAACAGTTGGGCCAGAGTAGTGAGGAAGTTCCTGGCTATCCTTTTAATTTCCCATTATATTTTGTCTACGGCATATCACCAGACTGATCTTCATAAAAACCCAGAGGAGAGCCAATTCCTACTCTGATTTCTGCTCTCCTTTGAATCCCCTCTCCTAGAAAGAGTGGCAGAACCCTAACTGCCTTCTGGGGCTGGGCAGCTAACGAGATGTAAGAAGAGGGTTGAGTGCAAGGCATGTAGGAAACCATGTGGGAACCACAGAAAATAGGAAAGTTCTTTGCCTAAAAATACTCTAATTCAAAAGTCTTAAACCCCAGACAGGCAAGAGAAAACCCTGTCGTGGCCTGCATGTAACTTGGGGGCTGGCATCTGTAACCCCTGAGCAGGTCAAGGCCAACCTTGGAGGATGCTGTCCATCTCTCCAGACAGGTAATTTTCTGCCTGCTCCCAAATGAGTTCTACACTGTGGTCCTTGCTAATGGGAGCTGATCTTGGCCC